CGGCGGCCGCCGCTTCCTGCCTCGGTGCGGCAGCCGGTGCCTCCCTCCTCCGCCTCCTGCCCAGCCGGCCGCTGCCGAGCCCCGTCTCGTCCGGAGCTGCCGCACGAAATGACAACCAGCTGGCGGAGGCAGCGCGGCACTTCCGGTCCGCCGCCGGGCGCGCCCCTCGCCACGCCCCGCGCGCGGCGCCTCGGGGGGCGCTGGCCACGCCCCCCCACACAGGGCCACGCCCTCCGGCTTCACTCGCCGCAGCTCGGCCGCTCCGGGCGGCCATTTTTGGTAGGGGCAAAGGAAGAGCGCGGGCCAAGGGGCGGCCACCTTTGGTGCGGGCACGCTGCCGCAGCGGGGTAACCTCGCTACGTCACGGCGAAAGGTGGGCCCGGCGCCAGCCCGGCCGCCATCTTGGAGGGAAGAGCGCTGTCACCGCTGAGGGCAGCCATCTTTGTGCAGGGCAGGCGGAGGGGGCGGGCTGGCGGGGGCGCCGGCTGCCTGGCCTCGAGCGCCGGCCTCATCCCTAGGACTGGCCGGATAAAACACGGGAAAGGAAATAGCGACCGCTCACTCGCCGTTAAATAGCCAGGCTAGGAGGGGCCCCCAGGCCGCCAAAGCCAGGGCGCGTTCCCAACATGGTCTGCCTGTGGTGACTGATATCTAAATGTGGATGCTACTGTAGACCTTAAACTGAGCCTAAACCTRACCCAGCCTCTTGCCAAGGGCCCTCGCACATCCCCCTTCCTTAAAAGCTGACCCCCTTCCTTAACACGGCCTTTCCTTGAACCTTGAAAGTCATGCGGGGCCCTGCTCTGGCACTGCCTCGCACACATAACGGGGCAAAACAGCTCTTTTAATAAATGTTAGGAGAGCCACGGATTTGGAGCAGGCTCAGCAATGGCTTTGCGTCAGTTTGACCTTTCCGCTTTGGACACACAGGCATGGGGTGCAACGATGAAGGGTCATGGTAAAAATATGCAGAATATCTGGGAGTTCCTGAGACCTGAAAGTGCTTTTTGAAACTCTCCAGTGGCCTGGGTGTATTAACAAATCTCCATCAGTTCTGGGATGTTGGTTTTGGAAAGATTATAGCAAAGGCAAAACCAAAAAAGGCCTCATTAGTGAAAGATAAAAACTCAGAGAGAAGTGAATATGTGTATAATGAATTAGAGATATTAATCCATGCGATGTAGGCGGTTCTGAGCTATTTACCATTTGTGCTGTAGGGAGATGCAMTACAGCTAGGCTAAAATACACCAGAAGGAAGTGTCAACGCGCACACACAGGGCACTTCTTTCCTGAATAGGCCCCTTCTTCATTTATGTTAGAGAGCCTTGAAAGCAAAATGGTATTATAGCCAGTAGTCCAATGTAAAATATTAATTCAGCATGCTTTACATGGTTACATCATTTATTAAACATTTGTTGATTTTTCTTTTACCTAGGAAATGTATAAAAGCAACAGGCTTGGTTCTCCCAGCCTGCTGGCCTTTGCAAAGTGAAATTCCAGTTTATGGATGGGGTGACACTACACATAGCACATCCCACTGGGTTTTGTATGTACAGTTACCTGGTCTGTGGACCTAGGAATGAGTCTGAAACTGGCATTTATTTGTCCTTCCTAAATTTATTCTTGCAAAAGAACAYGGATTATGCAATGTTAGTCAACTACATATGAGTTCTGGCAAATAGATCATTTTTTAGGAATGSCTGCCCTTTTTTTGCACACATAGAAATAAAAAATACAAATAAATACAATTCAAAATTAACTAACAAAAGGATAGTGAAATTAAAATAGCTATATTGAGAGACAYCAGTAAAAATTCAGCTGAAAATGGAAGTTTGCAGAAACATCTGAAGAATTTTTATTCACTAATGGACTATTCACATTTCCTTTGAAATCATGTAGCCCACATTTCCATGTGTGACAACATACTAGGTTATGTACAGTGAACCATAAAAATACTGGTTTACAAAATTCCCCCTTTTTTTTATTTGCAACCTCTGCGAGCCCATCTGCTATTAAATACTATTTTCCTCTATACTTTTCTTGTCGTACTGTTATTATCAGCAGCAGCTTCAGAGTTAACCAGCACATCTCTCRAGAAGCTCTGCACCTGGCTGCACTAATACACTGCTATCAAAAGGAGCCTTTGGGAAAGACTGATTAGGTGGCCCTCATTTAATTGAGACACACCCCTGCAATGCGTAAGGGTAGATGCAGATCAGCTGCAGGGATAAGAGCAGCACCTCCAAAATCTGCCTTTAATCACCTTGCTTGACAAACACGGTTTGCTGAAATCATGGGAGATTTCTTAATGGCTGGCATTCTGTTTAGTCTACATCTTTGAGGAAAGATGCCCAAATGGTGTACAAGGATTGCAGTCACTAGATTCAGTTACAAAAAAGAATAAAGCAGTGAAGAAAATAAGTAGTATCTAGGAACAAGTACATTTAACAGCCTGTGAGGATGTTGCCATTTTGATGATTTGACAGTGTAAAGAAAGTCTCAAATAAAGTGTCTGGAATGAGAACCAAGCAGATTTTTTTTTTTTTGAATTGCTACGTAACTTTTGCAGAAAATAATAATTAGATCAGCTACATGATTAGCTTGCACATTTGTCAAACATTTTAAAATCAGTCACTCTTAATAGCAATAGACTCTAATTTGCTGCATTCTTTTGGGAAGAATATCCTATTTTCCCTGCTAACACTGCAAGACCAAGCTAATTTCCAGGGAATCACGAAGATATTATTACTGCTTTTCATTACACACACTAACATAGTGACAAGCATTCCTAAAAACTTTCTTATTGTCCTAATTCGGTATAKATCTAGCAGAATTCAGTATATATCTAGCAGTGTAAGCAGTATTTTTCTTTTAATGCTCAAACCATYGGCTCAAATCCCTGCAGTCAAATCCAACCTTTGTCATGGAGCAAGCGACATACAGATTTTCCCATAGCTTACAGCATGACCTAACTTTAAAACATAGGTGAAATCTCTAAACATACGACATGAAGAATTTCAAAAAAGTTTAGGCATCCAAGTAATGTGATTCTGCACAATTTAGAAATAGAATTCTAAGTTTTCCTTACTCTGCCTCATCTATAAAATCCAAGGATATTTTCAAAGGGAGGACAAGGGGGAAGTTGTCCCAGTATCCTTTTCCTTTGCCCTTGCTAACACCCAGCTGTCTGAGATTCAGTGTCCAGACTTGCCGCCGTGTTCGCCAGCGAGGGCTGCAGCCCCGCAGTGATGGATGTAGCTCGCGCCTTTCACCTGGAAAGGATTTAGGACTGAATTACACTTGAAATACTTGTAGTCATTACGATACCTTACGCTAATCACTATCAGCACCTAATGGATTCGTTTCTGGAGGCAATTTCACTGTGCCATGCAAGAGGGGWGTCCTCGACCTCTGCGGCTGGTAGCATGGGCAGCTCCAGCTGGGATTGGGGATGGCACCGCACAGGCATCCCCAGAATCAACCCCCGGGATCGCAACCTCCTCAACAGCCTCTCCACTGAGAGACTAAATCACAAGTGGGAACATATGGCTCCCCTCTGGGAGGAGATGTTTTTTAGCCACTTTATTCGGACAGTCTCCCGGTAACACATCCCTCCCATCAATGTTTGATGGTGACTCGGGGTCACAGTAAAAACTGTGGCTGCAGTGGTGGAGGAAATCTGTTTACTCGCTTTACTCRGTCAGAAACCGTCTCAAGATGGGTGGTTTGTTGGGCTTTAATAAAGCACTCAGTGCTTTATTAAAACTTCCAGTGATAAAACACCACAAAGAGCAAATAT